TAAAAAAAAATTAAAATTAACTTAACTGCACTATAATGATAATTAACTTTAAAAAGTTAAGTTAAAACCAYACAAATTTAACTGAATAAGTTAATTAAGTTTAAAACAAAAATAATTAACTAGTTAAGTTAAAAAGTTTAAAAAAATTAACTTTTTAACTTAACTTTATTTTTTTAACAAGTTAATGCCCACCATTGTATAATTGTATATAAATCATACAATCACAGTTAGATTGCATGTATTAAATTAAACAATTAATCCTAATTTTTGGTAAATTTATACATTTGTCGATTTAAATATATAAATAAAAGTCGATCAAAGCACAATATACAATTTTAATTCGAAATACCTAACGAATCACTGTTAGAAACAGTACTATTAATAATTTTAATTTCGTCAAAACTAATTGAAATTGTTTATAAATGGAGGTATTATTGTGTGATAATATTTAATGTTGGATGTAGTTTACTAGTACACCATCATTGAGTTTATTAGAAGAAAACTTGGACTGTAGTCTTGGAAGTGCATAGGTGACGTCAAGTGTTTCAGTATTCAGTGTTTGCGTTTCGATACCTTTAAATTTGACTTCAGTAACATTTAAAAATTACAATATTGCACATATTTTTAAATGAGTATAGTATATTTCTCAATATATACTGAAATAGTTTAGTCGTACACAAATTGAAATATTGAAGAAGAAGAAGCCTCCACTTTAKGTCACAGTCGTCGGCGGGTTTCTCTTTTATACATACTCGACAATAAGCTTATTTGTTCCAATTAATAACTATACGATACAAAACCCGAGGTTTCCTATATATTATTATTATTATAAGTTATTGCCATGTTACACGAGCTCAAAGACAATGAATTACGTGAACGTTGTTGAGTTACCATAATGATTTATTTGGTACAGTAATAATAATAATAATTTTAATAATTCCTCAACTATAAAAAATATAAATTGTTWAAAAAGTCAGCATCGCTACTTTGTTTTATAATTATTAGTTATATGTGGATATTGTGTATGTGATCTGAATGTAACTTGTTTCAGACAGTCAAAATCAGTCATTTTGACTTTATAAGGCATAAGAAATTATTTAAACTATGGGTTCGAATTTCCTACGACAATGTATAAATGTTGCGAACAAGTAAGTAATATAACATTATAAGGTAATTTTATTTTCTTATCATTCCAATAAAATTATTTTTTTTTGATAAATGTAAAAATCAATATCTTATTTACAATGATATAAGAACATTGAACATTTTTTTTTAAGTTTCATAGTCGACATACATTTTGCATTTCACATTCAAGCAAAATCACTGTATAAATTACCGATTAATCTTATCACATCGGGCATAAAAGATAAAACATCAAAGGAAAAATATGAGTACGCACTCTTCGATGTCTGCAGTAAGTATACAGAAAGTTTATGTCTAGTCAGAGTAGAGTATCATCCACAATGATTGTTGGTTAATCGTTATTTTACTTTATAGTTGTGGTAGAACAATTTTCTCTACATCTTTGTATAAATGACCGTCGTCATCAGACTACTATTATAGCGACGTTGTTTGTGGTGTCTTCTGCAATTACGAGTTGTATAATATGTATAGTCGTCGGACAGGTATATTATTCTGCCTAATTTCCATGTATATTATTGTTTATTTTGCTCACTTTGTATAATACTATCATATACTACGTTCGTGGTTATTCCGTCTAACGAAACAGCTGAATTATATTGTGTCATCACTGACGTTAGTAAAAAATAATAATAAATGAGTTACAAAACGCAAGTCACCCTACTAATTGTGTGCAGCATGTGCGTATTACGGTTATAAAATATTTCCATATTTATTAATTTATTTATTTTTGTAACGATTGCCGTTGAAGTTTTGTATTGTATTAGGTAATAAATTCTCCATTATAGACTAGGATTAACAAAACTTCTAACGATAAATGCAATACCGAAAATTCTTTTATACTTGCGTCAAAAAAAAAAAATAAAAAAAAAATAGAAGAATTTTGTGTTGTATTTAATTTCACATACTTATCCAGCTTTACTTGAAAATAATTCAATTGATAAGTATAAACGATGGGGATTGAAGTAATTCAAGTAGGTATACTGTTATTGTTATTATTTTTAAAATCAATTTGTTAGATGATTAGGTCAGATAACAAATTATCGAGTGTCTATTGAAAAATCTAAAAGTATAGCGAAACATTACAAATCCATAAACAACTCATTAAACGATACAATTCTTTGTTGATAATAACAGTTATTAATTCGAAATAGTAAAATAGGTTAAGAAATAGTAGATATTTATTTTTATTTTTATTTTTATTAAATGAATCGCTCAACAACAGTTACCGGTTGGAAGCTAAATAATATAATATACTGATTCTAATCACATTTGCCTTTTATGATTATAAGAGTTAAGTAGCAAACTTTTTTTTAATGTCATGGCTGTTCTTTAGAAATTACACAGTACCCATATATTATTACTATTATTATAATGCTCCATAGACAGTTACATAAACTAAACTGGCTTCTGGTTATGTTCTTTTTAACAGATTTCAAAACGATGTAGATATTATTTGTCCTTGTTGTTGTTATTATTACCGATATATAAATATTGAATGAGAATTGCCGATCATATACAAAGACAAAATAGTTATTATAACGGCCTAACGTGTGATTGACTAATACACACTTTGATCGTTACGATGCTTCGTAGTTAGCCAGTATCCCAAATACGAAATAAAACAAAAGAACGGTTTTTATAATAAATGAAACTTTGTTGTAATTCTAATTTTTCAATGATGAAGAACATATATCTGGACGAAATAGTTTTTTAATATCGTTAGCTTTAAAATGAATACGACAGCAATATTGTGCATATTATTATAGTGATGTAAAAATTGCATTTAAAAGCGTAAAGCAGATAGGATTTTTGTTTTAATTGTGAAGTTACCAAGTTCAATGCGTGAGACGTGTTATAATATACGGCATAGTATAATAATATGTTTGTATATACCTAATGGATTAACATGTACATTTTGCCGAACGATACAGCCACGTAACTACTAGTAGGTAGGTAAATACTTATGCATAAGAAAACAAGTTAGGTAAATGGAGTCTGTAATATTTGAGAACTATATAGGTACTTCAGGGCCTGTTGTTCAGGGTGAATGTGAAATATTCACCAAATCATAGAATTGTTATTGTTTTAAACCGTTATTAAATTTTGTGTATAAACCACGTGCGCGTATTGGCGGTAGCTATTGTCCATTAGGCGTATAATAGTAGATACTTATGTAGGACGTAAGTACCTATTATTTTAAATAGCGATTCGTGAGAGTGAATTAATTTCTATGTTCGAATCGCTTAAGCAAATTATAGTATGTTTGTACAGTAGGTTTGTATGACTGCATAATAAAATATGTATAATAACATTTTACATAACCACTTTAATCGTATGTCGTAAGAGCTTAAAAAATCGCGTGTCTAGGTGTACGCCATATACTGGTTTTGGCATAAAATGTGGTTGTCCTTTAACCAGAACACTCGAATATCTATAGAACGATTTAACCTACGAATTTTTTTTCATGTCTGTAGTTCGAATATAACGGATGAAACGGTAATATTAAAATGCATATTAATTATTAATTATAATACTCAAAGTGCTGTAACACTTGTTCGGTCGTTTGTAATTGGTCAATAATGTTTCATTCATAATCTTATAAGTCCATTGTTCATTAATCTTATCGAATAAAAGTCACACCAAATGTATATCCTATGCTATTCCAATGCCATGTACAAATATCCACCTTAATAAATAATTGAAAAGATTAATTTTTAAATTTATACTACAACACATTTTTTGAAACACATTCAACGCTATTGACGAAAATGTGGATACAACTCTATACAATCCTGAAGTAAATATAAGACATTATACGAAAAATATACAGAAGAACAATTAATATGATAATATTGTTATTTAAACAAAAAACTGAAAAAGGTAAGTTTTCAACACAGCTCTGAATATATAGGTCATGACATGCTATGATATAATATCTACTTTTGATATATCAATTTAATGATAGCAACGTTTGGAACTGCGTTACTAATTAATTTGTTCAAACATTAATAACCTACATTTTCTACAACAAAATTACATCATAATATAGAGTGCTTGTAGTATACCACGCTGGCGCTCGTACATCTGGTATCGTATAATGCAAAAGCTACACGAACGACCGATACGCTCTAGAGAATTTGTCAGCATTTCACATCGAGATAATAATACAATAATAAGATTTCACAAAATTATCTGTAAACTGCCTGAGCATTGATGGAAACGCCGAGTTACTAATTTTTCATCGAAATATAGGATATGCATTATTGACAACTCACATTGAAAGGTATTTCTATTGTATTTTATTTAACGTTGATTAACTATAAAATGATTAATAGCGCATAGGAGAGTGAGTGTTATTTAGTTTGTTATAGGTTGCCAAGTTGGTGTATAATATATTAAAATGTAATAAGTTTTGAGTTTTACCTGAGATAGATTTGGAAACAGCTGCCTTAAGAAGCCGATTGTCCTTTTGTCTCTGACATTTTTATGGCTTGAGTTTTCTGCTTCGACAGCTAAAAATGCTTCAGATTCCTGTATGGGAAACACAATTTTTATAAAACAAAAAATGAGTATTTTTCATAAAAAAAAAAAAACTTAAACGATTTGAAATACAGTTTTAATTCTTATTATTACACACAGAAGTCACAATAGGTTTCCTACACATTTATAATCGTAATATTATAACATAATATATTAATATATTTCTGTTGCAGTTTATATATATTTCTTGTCTACCACAAACATAATACAATATTAATAATACATGACGCGGGGATCTAAGTTTAATGTCTTGTAAATTATGTGTTGGTATATAATATTATATATATTATATATATCATAAAGTATGCAGCTAGCTACGTTATTAGATATATGATATTATGTTAGGGTACCTATGCCTATACATGCTATATACGCGAGTACACGGCTACAGAATTTATAAGATAGATTATACGGTAATTATCAAGAGGTGTATATTATCTGTTATGAAATATAAATGCAATATCGATCAACCGTCACGGGTAATTAAAATCAAATTGGCCTTAATCAAATCTCAATTAAACGTTAGTCGGAAACATAATAACAACCACGTGTATGGTTTTATTTATGAAAGGGCGTGTTAAAAAATTATGGTGAGCAACCGATATTTTATTTTCATTTTTCATCGTGCTAATTTCGAGAAGGTTGTTGTAGGCAGCAACAATTTTGTTGTATTTACAAAATATTATCGGTTGATTTTAAACATCAATGAAAACATGTATATTTTACGTAATTCTTTCACGTGGAATACGAAACAATATCATTATTATATTATATACACATTAATCATACCTAGTTAGTACTTGCCTTCTACTTGTAACGGGATTCTGAAATGAAAGTGCACATAAAATATTTTGTAATTTAGTTCCTAGTTCTTAATGTTTAGATTGCTCTAGCTAAATGTACTTTTGTAAATTATAATCATTACTTAATACTTTATGTTTACTGTTTATAGAATTATTGTTCAAAAATCAGGTGCATGAGTAGTATTTAAGCAAATGTCTAAGATAATTTAAAATGGTTTTCTGTACACCTACCTATAATGATATTTTGTTTATGAATATTTAGATTTTAGACATTTCAATTTAGTTAATTTATTTTTTAATGTTATAATTTATATTGAGTATACAGTCCATTAATACTTAATGATTAGGTACACACTATAACAATATTTTATCCATTGGTGGGGAGAAATACGGGGCACTTGTCTCCCTGGAAAAATTATATGAATTTATAATTTAATTAATATTAGCGTGTTATTGAAAACATAATAAAATTTTTAACTTTTAAGATATGAAATACTTGTGTATGACAATAATTGTTCATCATGAAAAAGCGAACTTTAACAAAAGTAGTTTCATTCAAGATGTCATTAATATTTTTGGAATAAACCAATGAAATTTGCAGTTTTTATTAAACAATATTGAATTATACATTTGATTAAATTTTTATATTTTTTGAATAGTACTTGTAATTATTAAAATGTATTTTAATTAATTATTATACAGGTACTATATAAATATTAGCATATTTATATTTTTATGTTGAAATTACATTAAACCTTTATTCAGCTTAAATTTGAGAATTTTGTTATTTTGCCCCTCTTGAAAAGTTATCTATGGGGGCCCATGATTAGAAATATCATCATTGTCAAAAGAATATTGTCCATTACAAAACTTATTATACAACTCAACTTTAATGGGGTATACTGAATAGAATGCTTAATTTAAAAAGTATCTATCTATGTGTTTGATTTGTCTATGAAATTTATTAATTTATAGTAAAAAAAATTAAGTTAAAATGTTAAGTATCTATAATTAAGCAAATAGATGAATATTGAAATGCTCTTGTACCTATATCTACTTAAGTGTTATTTTTAAAGCATATATTTTTTGCGCGATTAACCAAACTCATACTTAATAATTGTTATAGTGTAAACATGAAAATAGTGTTTATAAACAAGTTCGAAGCTTCAAGCTGTTTATCCCTTATAAACGTTCTTAATCCTATAGGCACTTTAACTTATGTTAACCTGAGTGTATTGAATATTGTTTTAATTAATAATAGACTAGCAGTCTTACATTATTTTTATATATCCATAACATCAGCTGTTTACCTTATGTTTTTAACTGCATTATATTTCTATACTACATACACGTTAACTGCCATTTGGGGGTTTTATTTCAATAAATAAAAAAAATCAATATTTATCCGATGATATTATTAATTTTGTAAAATGTTGTCATTTTAAATCTTATTTACACGTGATTATAATTTATCATCAAGTACAAAATGTTCCTTAAGTTATGATTCTCTGCGTGTCTATGCGCTAAAATTGTTTAGACCAATAACTTCGAGTACATAACTTGCATCTAGAGAAAACGTAGTTACCTATACCTATCATATGAAATTTTCAATTGATGTTTAATTTCTAATATCCAATGGCATTTTGATTGTTACTTGGAAATTTAATTTTAATGTGTAAGCACCTACATATCTATTAACTGTACCCAAAAATGACTATTACCTACGTTATTTATAAACATCATACACAGTAATATTATACCACTTGCACATTCATAGCGTAACATATGTATATATCATCATTACATTATATCAATAGATAGGTTTAAATATGTTCTTAACGCTTTTTGATTTTTTTATAAATTAAATCAAGAAAAGATTTTTTTATATAATAAAAAAAATCCCGTTGTGGGTGACTATTATTAAAAATTATTAAGTGTACTGTATCTTGTAAAAATGTACAAGTTTTGTTTTAAATACAAGTAATACAAGCAGTACACCACTAAAAAGTGTAATAATCTAAATGCATACTTGGATACATCGCGTATCTACACAAATATTTTTGATTATTAAAAGTATAATACACGAAATAAATGTGAAATAATAATGTACAAKACATATCATTCGAAAGTTGAATTAAAATTCTACCGATGGTATCAGAATAGTCCTTGAGGCTCTCGTTAAATTTAAATTCAACCATGACGTTAGAATAAATATTTTATTTTTGTGATCTAACCGCGTGTGACACTTCACTATTATTGCCTCTTCGTGTTTGGAATTATACAATAATTATTGTCGTATGCATTAATTGATCAGTGATGAGTATTTAGTTGCTTTTTTTTTACCCAATTGGATTCATTAATTACGGGTGGATATTCGTTCCATGTACTTACGTGTTTCGTTTACGAAACAATCATTGGTCTTTGTTTACGTATACCTATTACATTCATTATCAAATATTTAACCGTGAAAAATTATAAAATTATAAATAGGTACGTCCACTGTTCTAAGATACGAAATTCATTACAGTGGACGTACGTAATCTAATATTAACAATAATTATATTATGTTGGGTTAATATCATAAAGTAAAATTAAATTAAATGACACACTGTACAATAATATAATAATATATACAAAAGAACGACGTGCAAACGATAGGTGTGGCGTTAATGTTTATTTGTTATTTTTGTTTCTTCTTTTAAAATCATTGTGTTTCGCGTGTGACATATAATATGTATGTATTTTAATATTTCTGCGATAACACTTACTCTGCAGGTATTTAGGTTGATACCGAGTAAGGCCCTCATCTAGTAGCATCTTATAATTTACTTGAAATTCGAACGGACTTGTTTAATGCACTATATACACTGTTATCGCTATAATATGACCATACAACGACTATTTCATCACAATAATTATTATTAATTTATTAAATCGCAAAAATACTTTTCGCTTGGCGATATCGTTTGATGTGTATATATACGGCATAGATAGGTAAGGTAGKTAATATCGTATATTATAACGATCTTATAGAGTTATGCGTTCTGCAATTGCTGGGCATGCCACGTAGATTCCATGACCTAATATTATAATATTGGCGTGTCGGACGTACACTCGTCATCGGTAATTATTTCAGAAGCCACTGTCGACCGACAATACCAATTGCCAATATTGATAATAATAATAATATTATTATATCAATCGATACACTTGCGATGGTGTTGTAACTTGTGACTTGCGATGACCGTGTTAAACACACCGGACTTGGAATGAAAGTGATTTCGACCGGACGATATAGGTATACGTATGTAACATACAATAATATGTTTTATTCTGCAGCGGTTATGCTGGATGTTATATCAACGTATTCGTTTTGTATAGGTATACAAGAGGAAATTAAAAATTAAAACACGGAAACGACCACGTGAAATAAGCAGCTATATACGTTAGCGATAAATTGTTATTCGGTAGAAAACGTGTACATAACATAATATGCAGAGGCATGATGCAGTTGGATAGTAATTGGTAAGCCGTACGCGACATACGAGACCAGCGAAATCTGTTTAAAACCTATCCATCTAGAATTTTTTATAAAAAATAAGCTTTTAGGTAATACCAACGTACTCGTATTATTATTATTATTATTATTATTATTGGTTGTTAAATTAATGTACGTAATATCGTTTCGCTGAGTATATTATACAGCGGTCGTAGACGAAAGCTGGTTAAGACGTATACTTAAGCCTGAAGGGGGATATAAGGAAGACTGAACTTTTTTGTCGCTTTCATCGGCGTTCGGGGAAACAGTGTAATAAAAAAAAACTAAACACCGACGACACGACTGCTTTCACTGTCATTGAGGTTTATTCGCCGGCCGCTAACCACGGTCATGTATAGGTACATCTCTTCTGTTATATCCCCCTACCTATAAATATATATATATATATATATATATGCACCCATAATAATATTATACACCCGATGATGATGATAATAACGATAATATTATAATCAACGCGACGTATCGTAGTGTTGCGTTTTTTTGAACTTGCTCCCTCTACCCCGCCGTCCACAACAAGCGGGTATCACGTAGGTATCTATATATTATTATTATTACTTTTTATATTATATAAACACTGTCGTTTGTCGAGAGAGGGCGGAAACGTGCTTGCGCTTGCCAACGCACGTGCACTACATATAATTCGACGAACGTCGAGACCGTGGGCTCGCGTATGAAATACATACTATTATAATCATAATAATATATTGTAATATTAATGCAAGAAAAATAACGACGTGAGCCAACAACTACACGATAATATTATAATATTATGCAGTACGCGGTGCGCTGTACCCATATATCATGTTCTGCGACGTCGCTGGCGACTCGATGTGAAGTAGGTAGGTACGTAAAGTGTAATTTTAACATACATTTTACGATTATATTGTAATTATTATTATCATTGTTATGTAACTCTGTGCGCGTGTGTCGTGTGATATAGTTAACATTGTATGATAATTTTATATACGTTTTACTGCTATATAATATAAGTTGTACTGCAGTAAGTAGGCACATAGGTAGGTAAACGACGGTTCGCCAAGACACGAAACCGAATTCGAGAGACGCAAGATCGCTGCAGCGGTGTCGTTACACAATAATAACAATATAGAAAGGGTGCAATACAATACGTAAACAATAGTATGTCGTATGCCGGTATACGGGTTATACCTATCTACTTAAAGTACATACGCTTGAAAAATTTAAACGAATTGCAAAAAATAATGAATTTTAATTAGCGATTTGTTTGTATTACCTGTTTACAGTTACGGTAATGGAAGTTAATTTTTACTGGCTAGTTTAATGACACACACACACACACCACTGGTTTACGCGTGTTTGTCCGATGCCCACCATAATAATAATAATGCCTACAATAATGAGATATTCGCGATGCCTATAGTACTCATCAGTCGGAAAATTAATTACAAAAACATCATTAAACGTGTAAATATTTCCGAGTAAATGTCAAAATTTTAGCCTACCTATAGAACACGGGTATAATAGTTTATACGTATACTGTATAGTAATTGAAAAATTATTAATATGGCGTTGACGGTGATGACTGCATACTTTAAAAGCATGAAATACGTGTCAACGAAATRCGATTGGACATTGATTGATAAGAAAAATAACTGCGATGAATAAAAACTTATGGCTGCGCGTTTTGATATAATAATACTATGACAATGTTTGTCACAAAAGTGTGGTTGTTATTATATTTGCCRTGGTACAGTGTTGTGCTGGTGTGTATAGGTACGACCTATGTGTAGAACTCTGAGGATGATGGAAAGTAAATAAAAGAGCAAATGTATATTATAAAAACAATTGAACCGATTTGATTATTAATATTATTAGTAATTTTTCTACTCGTTGTGACCGATTTAATTACTCCAAACCAATCGTGACTCTTAAAACATCGCCTCTAGGAGATCAAAACCTAACAAACGGTATTGTGTATATCAATTATCAATTACTTTTAAGTTACTACATAGCTGCCCATAGGTATAGGATAAACATTTCATAAATCCGGTTTTTACATGTAACCCGTGTTCCAGAGAAACAGCTGTTCAATGATTGTTAAATCATATGGGGTATGGTCAGGTTAGGTATTATTATGAATTACCTACATTTGTATATATATGTGTGTGTGTGTGTGTATATATATATATATATTTTATGGTCTAATTATAATATAGTTACCAGGTATATATTGTTTATTGCGAATCATATACCATGCAATTAACGGAGTATACTTGTATAGTACGGCGTGTTAAGTACAAAATGTTAGTAAAACAATCATTTATCATCATCGCCATTCGTCATCACTCGTCATAATTACGAAACGTATAGGATGAGACACGCATAATAATATCATAATATTATAGGTACTTTGTATTATCGTCGTCACCGAGTTATGCACAGTGGCACTGCAAGAAATATAATAACATAATAATATTATAATCATCTCTGGTCTGTGGTAGTAGTTACCTACAATAATTATCCACTATGATAATAATAATTAAAACACSAGCCATTGTATGCTAACATTGTGTTCTTCTAAGTAGGTTTAACGCTATTAAGTTATTATTTTATTATGTATGAGATAACACTACATGGATTTAAAGTATTTGTAATATAATATACAAATATAATGAAAGTAGCTGCAGTTTAAATAGGTTTCGAAAAATGTAATGTCTAGATTGCCTTGGGTTATGCGGTAATCCGTCGGTCTCGTGTACGGCAGTTTGTCCTCGGTGCGGGTCCAATAAAATATCTTCATAATATGTGTACAGATAATATTATATATATTATACATTAAATTGAATATTAAACATTAATCATAATCCCCGGTGAGTATTGCATGTTATAAGCATGTGTTTACAGTTAGTGCCAAATATCATAAACAATAAGGACGCGAAACGCGTCGAAAACGAGATGCATAATATATTCTTTACGATATTATACCTATATATTGCAAAAGTGATTATTGTTATTAATATTTTTTTTTCTTGATTAATAAACTTTACCTTTTCGATCATGGAATCTAATGACTTGACGTTAGAGCTTGCAGGGTGGCATTCAGCTAACTGATACCACGTTATGAACAAAACCAAACACATGTATTTAAACATCATTTTGAATACCGGTCTGAAAAAAAWAAATWAAAAAAAATATATATAAATTAAAATTGCTTACGGAAACAGATGGATAATTTGAATTTAAATTCTATTTTGTCATCGTTTTTATTGTTTGTGTTTTTATTTCTATTATAATAAGCCACACTTGTATACATATTACGTTTATATATACCAGAAACTCAGAACTAAGGCATAATTTGCATTACCATTAAAAAATCAAGGACTTTRCTGTAGTATTAAGGTAAAAAGTGTGCAAAGAACAATTACAGTGACAAAAATATAAAAAAATAACATTTAATTTATTTTGTGAAAGTAATATTGCAAGTAAAGATCATTCGTATTCGTATACATAGTGTTGACCACAGTGAGTCATGAAGTTAAAACGATTTCGTGTATACATTTTTGAGAAACATACTTATATATATATATATCTGAAAGTGCTTCAGTGTATAATATTTCAAAAGGTATATTAAAATTAAAATATTAAATGGTTAAGTAATTAGACATTTTGTAATTGTTACATAAAAGAGCATTAATTGTTATGCACAACGCATAATATATATAGAGAAAACATATTTTATAATGTAATCCAAACATCATATATATTATATAGTTGATGTCGAATTCAAAGATTAATTGAACATAATGAAGAATATAGTTTGAAATTTTAACCACACAATGGTTGGTAATAGATAAGATTATTAATCACAATATTTACTCAATTAATATTATCGTATTCAAATTTAAAATGTCTTCATGATTCGTTAGCGATATTCATGCGATCAACGTGTGCGTTGATATCACTTCATTTGCTAGACCTATAACCACTCTAAGTTGGTTATACCAAATTACATATTATAAAGATTTTATTGAAAAACAGTTTTATTAATTTGCTAATAACTTTTTCCCATTACTAATTATTATAATATTGTTTACATATAAGTATGTCGTGTTTTCAATTTGGAAATATTTTTAGATCGGTAGAAATAATTTCTGCACACATAAATTGTATGTATAACACAAAAACTATATTATTATTAACTAATTTTGCAAACTAATTGCTGTAGATTTTTTCTTCAGCAATCAACGTAGTGTTTGAGATCTTGTATTGTTCAATAAAATTGGTATTTCGAGTAAGAGCTAGAACTCACGATAACCTGACTTACATATACATACATACATACATACATATTATATACATAGCGTTCTACAAGAACACATAATATTAATAATAATAATAATTTTTGTTAAGTGAGTATTAGTATATACATGATTTTTTTAGTCAACAAAAAATGTCAAAAAACCGGTAGAATCCATGTTTMAAAGTAGTCGAAGAATTTTACGAAACGATTGCTTCATATCGACAATATTATTATGTATTGAGTAAACGCGACGAGGTCGAGTACTATCTAAAACGATCTATGGTAGATATTATAGATGTATTATACATACCTAAAAATAATAATAATAATAATTTTATAAAAAATGTACAAGATACATGCTATTACGCTTTTACAAATGATAATTAATTTAAGTGCCCATGTCTATGAAAAAGGTATCTACGTCTATATATTTTGTTGCAAATGTGATTATCGTGACGAATTAGCGCAGCTCCACATCACTTACAGGTACCTAGTTAATAACTATAGCTCAACTACTTTAGAGGTGTCACGTTATGTGATGGGRGGAGAGGAGGAGTGGAAGATTTTCGGTAGTTCACGCGTATCACGATGAATTCATGGGTTTGAGATGATAACAAAACGTTTATAAACTCTTCAAGTGCGTATATTATTTATTACTGTGATTTGGTAGAATTTCGTGAAAATCAAAAAACAAATGCATGTGATTTTTATTGTTTTCATGAAATGGCTCAATTTAGGAAAGGCCTAAATATCGTACAAGTGACTATCTATTAAAACAAGTTATATATCTAATGTATTAGAATTTATCAAGCTATAAATCCACCGGGAGCTTATAATAATATGATAGTCTGAAAACGACGACGGCAATAACAATATAACGTGTCTAGTGTCTATATTAGAACTTCGCACGATTAGTGGTTGGTCAACACCCGCAATGAAGCACGCAAGTTTTACMGAGGCCCGGTGAAGATTTTGTGCGATTTAATTATGCCATTAATCGTTAGGTATGACGATTTTATTTTTAGAACACCAACGCATCTTAATGATGTTGATAATAATATAATATAAAAATGTATAGCATACAGTGTCTTATAATGTCGTCGCGTGATTTCGTAAGATTAGTGACGTGGGAGTGTATACATACTATATGGTCTAAACAAAAGCGAGAGTATAATATAATCAAACTGGCGCGGGCGGATACCTAGATAAATCTTATAATAATAAATTCACTCAGCGTTATGTACCTATATATATATTGTGTCTATAATATATTGGAAACGCGTGCTGGTTACGATGTCGACGAAATACGAAATATAATCCCAACGATGGTTTTCATCGTTGTGCAGTGTACCGGAGACTTTAACGAACCGAAAACCAAAAAAAAAATTCAATAGACCGATCAAAATACCATTAATAGCCGTTTTTTCCAATTATTCTTTTGTTGATCGATAATTTTAAAGGATTGTATAATAKATAAAATAAACCTTGTTGTGAATGGCGAATACCACACGATTATTGAACACAAATAATTAATGTGAGTACTTTACAAGCTAATTACCAGTATTTTATATTAATTAATTAAAAATGGAAGCAAATCTTGAATGCATGTATAATACAAGTAAATAGGTACCTTCAAAATATTGTGTAATGGACACGAAACGAGTTAAAAGCAAGATACCTACCTAACCTAACCTTACGGTATTAAATATTATATACTTATATCGTGATAGTGATTATTTTGAAATTTTTTTTACCTATATATCATCATTGGTACTAATCGGTTTTCGTTATTAAAAATAATGTTCTAAAAGACGAGTTAACAATAAAAAAAAAAAATGTTTAATGATCAAACAATTTTTTATGCACAAGTCTTCCGAAAATATCGTTTCCTCACACAAATATATTTTCTAATACTGTATGGTACCTACATAATATGTATAATAATAATATATTATAATATTATTGTAACTGTCGTTGAATGACGATAAAGTGTGCACAGGTTGTTATGTATAGCAAACGGAGACTTACACAATACTGTATAGAATACTATCTAAAAAAGTATATGATATAGGTACCAACAGCTTGTATGAAAATAATATATAATKAGAGCGTAAATCGCAATTTTCCGGGGCGTGTAATAATTTGTGCAGTTGTGTTATTATAATATGTATAGTGCAGATATATAGTAATGTCTATATTATAAATGATAATAATAATATAGTCCCCGGACTTGATGTGTTTGTGGGGCAACCATATTCAATGTACGCCTTTATATTATGATATATGTAGGTATACCTATCTAGCTAGCTAAAATATATCCGTGGGCAGCAAACGTTCGTATAGAAATCGTAGACACGTTCGGTTTGCTTTTGTTAATATTATTATTATTATTAATTTTTTTTTTTTTTTTTTTTTTTTTATTGTTACACCGATTAAATGCGCACGTGTAAAAATCGAATAAAATAATTTTGTGTTATAATATACCTACATATCTACTTATATAGGTTTATCCGTRGGAAATCACGATGTGGTGCACCCACAACTTGCACATGGTGACAACAAATCRGCGTACCCGTACAAAGCAATAATATCATATTACGTCCAACCGCATACAAAATAATTATTTTATATTATTATAAGCATTTTAAAGGCTTTATAGAACAACACGACGTCATCCAGTACTGGTGATCATAGTGTTAGATTTGATTTTTAAACGATCGTCACATATTCCAATGACGATATTAAAACCATATACGCGTCTCGTTGCGATACTAAAAAGATTTGAATCTTCTAGTTCTGCATCCTAGCACGCGCAGTTGCACAATTTCAGATTTTTTGTTAYGTTTTGTTTTCTGCATATTCGTATGGGTACCACACATAATTTCATTCAAATCACTAATACGTACCTACTATTATAACATTATAATAATTTTGGTATAGTATTATTAAGAAATCACATTCGTTTCGAAACTGATAGTTTTTTAAATTACCCGCGCCCGGGAACTAGATTCTCGGAACGTCATCTGAACGTGAATATTTTTACTCTGGCAGCTGTAAGTAGGGGGTACAGTTATAGGTTGGGTGCACTCGTTATTTCGTTATATTAAAAAAAAAGTTTTCAACATGATGATAATATGATGCGTGATGTTATTCAGAGCGGAAAAAATTAGTCGTTCGTATGCGATCGATTTGAATATTATAATAATGCAGTATAATATGTAGATTGAGCTTTCGATATAAATTGGGCAATGTCGGTGGCGTCATCAAACAAGCATATTAAAATGAAAACGAAAACTTGTATCTCACATCTATATACTAAACATAAATTAGACACATATCAGATCCTCTACAGTACTCATTGCCCCGACAAACTTTCGTTGTAATATTATATTCATAATTTATATTTTATATATTATTTTATATTACTTATATCTAAACATGAATGAATACGTAATGATAAATTTAATCGCATGTGGTCTCAGCAGGTGATGGTTTATACAACATATCAAAAAGTAGATCCTTAGGAACAACAGGAAATCGCCATTATACACAGGACCATCATATTATACTACATCGCGATAGTTCTTCAATGAATATTATGATTGTTCCTATGACTGAAAAATCCTATACAGATCGTAATAATATTGGTATATAATGAAACTCATTAGACTATCTGTACGGTTTTTCTTTTTGAAAATTGGAGAGGAAACATACGACAATATAATATGTATATTCAATTTGGGGTGTGATGTGGACGAAAAAAATTAAATAAAATCCGAATTCAATATTATAGGCACTACTACATTAACAGCAAATCCGAGACGTCAATACGACATAATGATCAATATACAATATTAAATAATATATAGTGGCTGGACGATATGATGGGACGAATAATCAATAGAAAGTAAAATGCAACACACGCATAAGAGAAGGTTCAGACTGGCCACCGACCTACAGTGTTTATGATATAACAGTTATTTTAGTTTCAATCCACTTTCCTTTTTACACATATTAAAACGTGTATCTTGAGTAACTCGTCCTCCTTATAGACRCGCAAACTTATCTACCTAAAATTGACTGTATAGGTAATAATAATATATTTGCATACACCTAAAACCAATTAGAGAATTAGACTGTATATATAAATGTGTATGCGATCGATTGTCTCTACAAGTAGTTTATTATTTCGTTTCGATTAGAAAATATTTAAAAAACAGATGTTAYCTATATAACAGAGATCAGCTGTTTCAATACATACGACTACAGTTACAAAAAAACTTGGTGGCACTGAGACGATGCGCTTTTAAATAATTTATATAAATGAACCATTCACATTATCATAATAATGGTATCTTATCGATTTATCATAGGTTGTCGTGTCCATAGACATGACCTATGCTCATCACAGCGTAGATTAAAGTTTTCAAATATATTCTGATAATCTGATATAATATGTTGGATGTATCACTTTCAGAAATTGATACCTAACAGTTCATAGGGTAATACATATTTATTTACAAAATGTATAAAATATAGGTATTGCGCMCCTCGCCCCTTTCACTTTAGTCGGCTATAGGTTCCTACAAATAATACGTTTATATAACCAACAAAAAACGAGTTATTAAATTATTATAAAATATTTAGTTATCGTTAGGTTGTTCTTCTKCATACCTACATGGAATTTTGTTTTAAAAATATATATGGGTATATATTATATTATATAGGTGACTAACCTGTTAGTTTTTCATGTGTATTTAAATTTAATTTTAGTATAATTAAATCGGTTGTAATAAACAAATAATTGCGTTTAATAACAAATACAAATAATAATTTTAATTTTAATGWAAAATCAACTCATTATTAAAATTATATCATAAAAGTAACATATAATATTATAACGGTAAATATAGAATTGGCATTGGTTAGAAAACACGTTTTGACTATTGCGAGCCGATTATCGGTATTTGATAATGCATAATAATAATATATTCTTGTTATGTAAAAATTGAGAATTACTCTGTCGGTTCACTTATTAGTTATTACTTATTCACGTAATTAGCACTTCCCTCCACTATGCRCTTCACTCGCTTTGCGTTATTTTGCTTTCCCTTTCAAAATCGTTTAATATTTCTTCTTGGTTCGGGTCCGACGACGTCGATCGATCGGAACGATATTATTAATTTTCGTTTACGATTCATTAATATACTTGGGTAACGCGTACTTGTTCTATATACTATAATATATATTATATATAACGTATATTATTATTATTATTATTATTATTATTATTATTATTATTATTATCTATACCAAAGTTCGTGTAAATATCGTTAATGTGGTAAATAACCATGGGAAAATAACAAATAATCATGAACGTTTTAAGAAAATTTGCCCTTGAATACCACAACTCTCGAGTGTTTTAATCATTATCGCGATGAATGAAAAATAATATAATTTTTCGAGTGTGTGTGTGATGTGCTGTGTTCATAATTGAACAATGTGGCCGGTAATTATTGTTCTTTATTCAATGCCGCGAACTTGAAATAATATTATTATCATATTGGCTACTAAAGATTTGTAGGATATTATGGATGGACACTGTAATTAATGAAAACCTATTGTAATAGTAACACCAATAATAGGTAGGTAGTTACGTATATACCTAGCTATGTACTTGCCGTCTACCTATATAGTTATTTMAATCAAAATATTGATGATCCAMCGAATTACATAATAAGTCAAAAATTTAAAAACGAATCGAACAAGTTGTTTACAAAAATACATGCATATTATCCAACCAAYTTTTTGTTTGCGTTATATTATTTTCAATGATGAAATATTTTTATYATCTTTAATTATTTTATACTGATATAAATCGAATTTAAATTGCTTAAAATATGAACTTTTAAGAATTAGATACATAACCTTCACGTATTCACGTATAAATCAATAATTTTATGTATACAGGTGAATGCTATAGGTATATAATAATATAATATTTAAATATTGTAACTATTATATGTGCTATATAATGTCTAGAGTATGCAATAATTTTATTGATGTGTGACCGTAATTATGCGTTTMTTCAGACTAAATAAAACATAGGATAGTATAGTGGACAGTACCTAAAGACTATAAAGTATATAGAATGTATCAATTATATATTTAATAATCAATTAAARAAATTACTGTGTTACGTATTGTGTCAAAGTTAATGAAAAACGTTCATGAAAAAAGCTAAATCAACMAATTATATGGATAAAAACAAAACATTAATTAAATTATTGGATAAAAGTGTCATTTAAATGGTCAAAATGTGTACTAATAATAGTACTCTAGGATATGTGACATAAAACTTATGCTAAATTTCAATCACAACAAACTAATAATTAGAATCTGTAGATAGTTGTATCATTATAAATTAAATTAATATTAAAACTATTTTAGTTGTAAAAAGTACCAGTTAGTTAAATATATTAAACGAGTTTTAAATAAAACATTAGTAATTTAAACATTTTCTTATTATGTATATAAATTTGCACAATAACTACGACTTTTATGTAATCAAAACAAAAAATAATAAAGTAACAAAATATGATAAATATTATACCTAGTGACATAATTTCAAACCTTCTTCAGTGATTTTGCACAAAAAAAAAGACTTATTTTTATTCACACAGTCTACTGGTATTTAACCAAAGTATTATGCATGGTGTTAAAAATTTAAATTAAGAAAATATAAAATATGTAAATTATTATTTAATTCACATTTGATCAAATGACTCATATGCACGCGACATAGGTACATCAAAAAATTATTTAATCAGAAGTTGCACTGGTACTTGAAAATAATTGTGTTACATGCTCCTTCAAAATAATATCGACTTTCAAGAAATAGTTAGTTAGGTACWTGTAGCGTGTACAACAATTTCGTATCACCGCTGACTAACATGTTAAGCAGTTGCAAGATATTATTATGTTATGATGCGATTGAAAGTTTTTGYCGAATACTTCAAAATAAAATTAAAACGCCTTTGTTGGTAAATACAAAAAGYTWGTTATTATTGTAACAATTTTCTCGTACCTAAATGTTGTGTACGTGCGTGCGAAAAAAATAMAAATAAAATATATCACGGTGCTACTTACTTCTTCTGACGGTGTTTACACGGAAACGCGGTTTTCAGTTGCAGTGTCGATGTTATTAACGTCAACGCGCACTCGCAGCACTAGCACATTTCAAGCACGAGGACCGACGATGACTTAACAACGTATCACCTTGTTCCTAATGTGCGAGTTTAAAGCCACAGTGGATCTTTGGTGCCGTAGAAGGGTCGGCGCGTGCCGGACTGGAGGGGAAACTGACCAATATGTAATAATAACACTATTCGTATGTACCTATGGTACGCATGATACGAACGGTGAAAGTAAATAATATATAATAATATAACGCTGGTAGACGGGTATGGGAAAAAACCTAGTGTGTCCCATTAGTCGTCGATGGAATATTATACACACACATAATACATAAACGTCATAATATCGTGAATATATAGTACCGGGGTGTATGATGGTTACGTTTTAAAATCAGTTGTTGTCCCGTTGCTGTCACCACGCAGGTTCGACCCAAATTTGTTTTTTTTTCCAATAGGTACTTTTACCGCTTTTAAAAGTCCGACACGACGCCGCGTATATCAGCTGCAGCAAGTAATAGGTATACCTACGTAAAAATATATTATAATATTACGGTTGTTACCATACCTACATTATATTAGGAGAGAGGAGGCATTTTTATCGTTTTACTCCGACATCGGACTTTTCTTTCCTTTCCAATCCCATACTGCAAAGCATACGCGCTTTAATGTGCACCACCTATGTAGTATATACTATAAACTATATAGTATATACGTATTTTATTGCTCAACGTACCACAAAACTCTTTAACGGTTATCCGCTATTTGATCCAAAACAAAGAATGTATAGTTTTTTTTTTCTTATAAAAGAATATTTGCAATCTATGCTACAGGAGTAATAAGTAAATTTGAACATAACAATAAATAATTCTACAACCTGAACACACGAGGAGGGAAGCCATCTATAATGATAGAAACCAAAAATAATTTGTTTTTTCTAATTATTAAATTAAATAGTTTGATAACCGTCATTAAGTCACCACACCATTTTCTCTTTAGATGACGTGAGGGATTKCTAGGACCTGAAGAGTGAGTTGGAAGTAAGTTAAGCAATTAATGGGTTAAGGTGAGACTGTAATTTAGAGTGAAAATTTTTAAAATTTTTTGTGGCTAATTGATTTACTATTTCTATTTTGAAGTCATTTTGAAGTGTGGAATTTGATACGTACCAAGGCGCAGAAGAGATAATACGGAGATTATTTTTGTGTGGAAGGGTAGTTTTGGTTTCAGAATTAGGTGAATTAAGAAAAGTAGACTGTTGAGAGTTTTTTTTTTTTGAGTTGATATGAGGGAGGACCCCAGGTGAATCTTAAATGTATATAGTTAAATGTTTTTTTTTCAGTTTTCTGCTTAGCGGACAGTATCCACTTACGTGCCAATGATTCAATATTATGTGAATTTGGTTGGTTGGTTTGTCTTCGACTGGTAGGACCATCTGTGATAGGCACTTAAACGAGATAAGCCAATTATAAATCGTATCCTACAAAAAACGCGAAAATCCCAGATGCTTGTGTGACAAATCTTTTATATCTGATTACTGTAAACGGTCAGAATTTTCGAGTTATAATTTATAACATAATATATTTACATTTTTGGTAACTTAGTATGCACAATACCCAGTGAGCTATATAAAAAATGAACAATTGTACAAATCAATTACAAATAATGGCATTTTATTCAATGAACAAAAAAAAAAATATATATTTTTTATTATTATTTAAAAATAAATATACAATTATATATTATACATTTGAATAAACTTGAATAGATTCTATCTTCTGTAAGCTTAGCTAGAGGCGAAGATTGAGAGTTACAAATTTATACTTATACTTAGAAACTAAAATTAAATACAATTTTATATAGATAGGAATTTAAGATAAATGGGTAAATAATAATAATAACAAATAATCAGAGGTTACATTTTAGAGACATAAATATAATTATATTGTTTCTAGTATATTCCTTGAAATTTCTGATGGAGACATCATACGAACTACAAATTAAATTGAAACACATCATCTGCATTTAAAATTTTAAAAGGCCAATTTTATGTTTTTCATATACCTATTAATAATTAATTATGTCTCKCTAAAATTTCAAAGCGAAACATATTTATTTATTTATAAAGTCTCACCCTTCAATCTCAAATTAAAGATACCTTATGAGAGCATTAATTAAAATTGATAACCCGAATAGAATATCTGAAAAATGTGAGATTAAAAAACCATCCAGTTAAAAAAAGCAGTTTGCTTTGTATTACATGAATTATTATTATATTAATTTATTTGTATTTGTGGTATTATTATTTTATTTAATAAATATTATTGCTGTTTTTCAACCTTTTTGAATATATAAAATACAATTAAAAATCAACCATCACATATTGAATAATAATACCTATTGATGAAAATTCTGCATTTCTTTATTATACCTTTGATGTTGTCATATTGATAATAAGTGTTTTTGTCGGTATAGTTTTAATTTGGTGCTTGATATCCTATTGATTTTGATGCAACCGGTATGTCTTATTATATTCATACACTTAATCATAACAAATGAAAAATAACATGATACAACTTGTAAAATAAAAATTTGATATTTTTAACGTAGAATTTTTATGACGAGTTTTAAATTTTTATCAATGCAAATATTTCATATGACCGTCAATTAAAATGTAAAATCATAAATATAATGATGCTATTATTATTTATTGGCATAGTAAACACAAAGTTATTGGTTCGCTAGAGAAAAATATGTCTACGGAGATAGCTAACCATATAATCGTTGTCTGTGGTAAAGAAAATTCTTAATAGGTAATCAAGAATTGCAGGTTGCTTGACCACAATATAATCACTATTATACTTATTAACATTATATATTATATTATCATTCATGAAACTATATGAAAATATTGTTTCTTCGTGTGATGATAATATAACATTATATAATATGTATAATTATATATTAACCTGTTGTACGATGTTTAAATAGATGGGTCACTTAAGTTTTAGTCTTCAAGTGCAACAACAATCGATTGAAATTTATATAATTCTGTTTCAGATTAATTTCGGAAGACGATTGACCAACATTTATAATCGTACTATACCTAGGTACGCGTTTAATGCACGTTTGGTGCGTCGTACGCATAGGCACTCTCGACTCTAATAATTATGTGTCGTATTGATATTTATTATAATAAATCTTATCAGTTTTTAACACACCCAGAAAATTGTTGACATAACACTACTATATTATAGTACTGTTATAGAGTCTAGTTTCTAGAATGTATATTGTTAATAGTAATGTCTAAAATAAGTTTCGAGTAACACAAGTAGTTTTGTATTGAAACATATAATTTATTATATATCGACCACTAATCTAGTTCACAATATTTAAATGTATATCGGATGCTGCTGTGCAGTCATCAACAGTGCAAAGACAATGAATTGATTTTTATATTCTTTTATATTAGTAAGTGTGAACATTTTAATTTGAGATAGTGTCAAATATTATTTTATCTGTATAAATAAACAAAATATACACTTGATAATAAGTAGGTAAACGGGTATTGATAATCATATAAGATGACATTTTTAGTTCAAAAAATCTGTTGTTATCTGAGGACTTATTTGACGATTTTTCCACCAATATGTTGATAAATGCATGGAATTATTAATAAATCTGGAAATTATGATGATCAATTTTTTCTTGATTATTGATTTTAAGATTTTAATATTGAGCATGTAACAAATAAACTAAACAAAAAAATCCCCCTTAACAGACTGTTAATAAAAGTGTAAAAATTAAAAGCTTATATAAATATGTTAAATAATATACATACAATAATGTGCAATAAATAAAAATATAGGTAATCACATATTAGCTTACTAATAATATATATAAAAAAATTGAATACAACTTTTATAGTAGAACAGATTTTTATTTTTATTTTACTTTAGCAATTATTTTTTTGATTTATATCGCTGAGTAAATTTTTGTAACAATTATTTTGGTTAAACAAGTTTTAAAACAAAAAACACTTGTCCAGCCTTGAATAAATGATAATGAATATTTATTAAGAATCTATAGTCATGGTCATTAGGACGATATTTTATTAAATTGTATACTTGATAAAATGGTTGTATACTCAAATTTAAACATACTTTAATTTTTAGTACATAATAATGTTTGTGGCAAGTCTTACGAAGTTACGAAAATGATATATCTCTATATTTTCATAAAACGATTTTCATTTAAATAGTTAATAATTTTGAATTTCATTAATCATTATATCATATATTTAAATCATATCATGCATAGAAAATGTACAAACAGACAAAAGCAAAAAGCAAAAATAAAAAATCATCGTTCAAACATACCAGAATATATTATTTTCTAATATATGATGCTTAAAAATTTAAAAATTGCTAATTTTTTTGAAAAAATAATTATTTAAATTTGAAAGCAAATAACACGTCATATGATATTTTAATATTTATGCCGAAAAATAATTGTTTTTAAAGAAATATCTGTATACATAATAATTAAAAACATTTGATAATATACCTATCTCATCAGTTGTGATCATAATTCATAATGTAAAATACCTAGGTAATGTAATTTTTGTGACTGCTTTGTAGTTAGTTTTCGTGAAATTACTTTTTTTAAATTAATTTTTTTATGACCTATGAAATATTATACATATAGTTTTATGAGTATATTTTAGTTCGCTATTTATGTATTGAATAATTATATTTACTTAGATTTTCGTTTTAATTATAATATAATATACATTTATTGGTACACTATTATTTGAATATTTAAATAATAGAATTATAACTGGTAATAATTAACACCGTAAAAGCTAATTAAAAAAAAATTTACAACGTAAAATGTGGGTGGGGGTGAAGTGTATAATATATGTATGTTATATATGTGGATAGGTAGGTACCCATCATCATCTCACAATCAAAAATAAGTATCTGTATGCCTATATAAGTACCTATAATAATTTTAAAAAGCGTTTAAATCATTAGAAGCGTGAATTTCCGGGTACAGTGTAACTCTATGGAACTAAGATGATGATTTGTTATAGTTATATTG